TATCATATGCAATTGAAAAAGTAGACCATTTCGGAATTCGAAATTTGGGACTCTCTCAATTTTCTGATCAGTGAGTCCCTTGGACTCGCTGCAGGTAAACTGTAAAATGATCACTGAGAGATTACCGCTTTTTCTGCAGTCAGTGATTGACTTCTATGCAAAGTCATTTCTCAACTTGTGTTCCGTGCCATGTCATGCCTGTTGAGCGTTGACTTACTTCATATTAAGAAACTACTGCACTAAAACATTAATTCATAAATGTATATCATATGATTTTATTTCTTTTTCTCAGTATAAATAACACGTACCCTGACTGTTCTACTCTTTGAATAAAATCACTTCATTCAAGCGTTAGGGAGTGCAAAGGGTTATGATGGAGGGGTGTTGCAAATCATGAACACCTGCTAAGTGGTATGATAGCATTGTTTTATACATGTCCTCGGCTAGGCCTCAATTTCAAAATCAGTCCTTGGTCCTTGGCCTTGGCCTTGGAGGCAAGTCCTTGGTCCTTGGCCTTGGCCTCGGAAAATTTTTCAAGTCCTTGGCCTTGGCCTTGCCTCGGAAAATTTTCCAAGTCCTTGGCCTTGGCCTTGGCCTCGGAGGCAAGTCCTTGGCCTTGGCCTTGGCCTCGGGTTGCCGGTCCTTGGACACATCCCTGCTTCAGATCACTTCACTTAACGTTATGTGGCCAAAACAATGCTGCTATTCAGGCTATTTGTGTTAGCAATGTTGGGAGTCGCACATGACAAAACTAGCGATTTACAGAAACAATATTTCTCAGCAACTAAATAATGCAACATTCATCTATCCATCCATCCATTTTCTGATCCGCTTTACCCTCACAAGGGTCGCGGGGTGTGCTGGAGCCTATCCCAGCTCTCTTCGGGCAATAGGCGGGGGACACCCTGAACCAGTTGCCAGCCAATCGCAGGGCACACACATACGAACAACCATCCACGCTCACAATCACACCTGGGGACAATTCAGAGTGATCCATTAACCTGCCATGCATGTTTCTGGAATGTGGGAGGAAACCGGAGTACCCGGAGAAAACCCACGCAGGCACGGGGAGAACATGCAAACTCCACACAGGACGGCCTGAGCCGGGATCAAACACACAACCTCTGCATTGTGAGGTCGATGCGCTAACCAGTCGACCACCGGGCATAATGCATCATATTACATTAAATTATGGTGTGCTATTAAGACATTTCATTACGATATGTACTGTCAGCACGAAATATCCAACCACACCGGGCAAAGGACTGCGGTTCAGAGGTGCTCTGGGTCACGCCGGATGCACGACAGCCAGTCATTAAGAACCTGTTTTCAACTGCTTGACCCCTCACTGAAGAAAGGTCCTACAAGTCTTTTCCTAACATCCCGGTGACGTTCCTCGGTTTTGCATGACAAAAGGTCAAAAAGTTCAAGGGAGGGGCTAATACTTTCGCAGTTGAGTAATGTATGTGGGATGGTGACAGTTGTATCAGCTATGCATGTAACTCATCAGTGGATTAAACAGCGACATGGTAGCAATTCACGTGTGTGGACATTATCTGGAAGATGCCGTATACTCCCTCTCACTGCTATAATTGAGTTTTTTTTAAATGGTGCTTTTGTTATTTTTCCAGCCAAAAAATCCTTAATGATCCAAATATGTCCCATTTATTGCATTGGCACAAGAAACAGGACCACTTAAAAAGCAGTAATAAAGGCACCCAGCCTTTAAATACAAGCAGATACAGTACATGCGCATTGAGCTAACACTCTTTGTTGGCATCCAAGTCCCTCCCCAGGCTAGTTTCCACCATATGTTGCCACACAATAATGACAATAATAATTTAAAAAAAAATATGGATATCCGTGTATATTCATGAACAATTTTGTCCTGTTCTTAAACATAGCATCAAGCCTGAGGTCAAAGAAAGACTAACGGGGTCAATGGGACAACCAATGATTGGTGGGCCACACCACAACACAACGCATGCGTTGAAACAATTAATAATACAACCCCGGGATTAGTGCCACGCACACAAACACACACGCATGCACACGCACGCACGCACACACACACACACACACACACACACACACACACACACACACACACACACTGTGTGAATGTGCAATGTTCACAGACGCATTTTCAGAAAAAAGGAATATAACTAAGATTCACTTGGTTGTTCAATTTCACACTTTATAGGTCAGCAGTCGTTTCAAAGACTCAACTATTTGTATCCATCCCATTAAAAAGTAAAATTTCCCCTGTCATCATATTGATACAAATTAGGGTTGTAAAACGTATGGTGCCATGACTGCCATGTTAACAAGACTGGTATAGAGAAACAAAACACTAATTTGTCCTTTTAAAGACTTTGTAGGAGTATTGCGAGCACATGACTCCAAGCCAATACTTAATTTCAGTGGCAGCCATTTTCAGGCCCCTTTTTACCTCAACTCTTGAAGAAAAAAAAAAAAAAACAACGAAATGAGTTCCTGCGATTCAATGTGTGGAGTCTGAAAACACATAATTGTCTTTGGGTGTAGGAGGACACCTTTGACCCAGCACAGAGGAGTTGCGACTTTAAAGTGTCTACTTAGTAATGTATTTTCTTTTAATCCCTGATGGACTTCCACCCACTCTCTCTCACTCTATTATTTCCAGCTCATCTTCCTTGTAGCCTTTGCGTTACACTCAAGATGTCCCATCTTTCATCATTTTTGCATCTCGGGGAAAGTGGCGAGTGGAAGTGTCCTTGAGTGAGCCACGGATCACCTACTCTACTCATGATTCCCTGCATGTGGAGCAGTATGAATAGGGAGCAGATCGCAAGGAGAGACTTGCTACCTGAATGGAAGCCATGCATCGGCTTCTACTGAACATGACCTCATCCTATATTACACAACGAGCAGATCTCTATGGTTTCATCCAACGTCGCTACATTCTTAAACACTGCGCCGAAAGATTCTCTGAGCCCACTCATCTGTATCATTTGTCTGTCATCCTCGGTTACGCAACGAGCAGAGGCGCTCTGAAGCAATGCCTTACGTGGGTGTGAAGAGCCCACATGAAAGGAGCTGTCCATCCGCCCACATTCAGCGAATGCGAGAGCCTGGCTGCTAACACAGTAACAATCCGGCATGTTGAAAAGCAAGATTCCCTATGAGCAGTACAGTACAGTGGAACCGTAAACGTAAAAGTAACAATTTATGGAGTATAATACGCTCTCAGATATAATCCACCTCCCCAAGCATTTTTTGTTGTTGTTGCTTTACTCATGTATAATGTGCACCCCCAATTTGCTGTCATCCATGCTCATCCCCTATGCCGAGTTAAACTATTATCTGCATAGTACTTTGACAGACTGGGATTTCTCATGTTCATATATAGATACAACATGATCCTTTTCAGCTTTTCAGAAATGAGAAAGTTACAACTTCATCTCAGGGTCCATGCATGGCATATGATAGCAACGTCTATCTCCCCAACATGGCCGCCATGTAGGCAGTCATGAGCTGACTGCTACAGCGCTATGGGAATATTTACTAACAAATCTAGTTTAGTATCTAGTTATATCTAGTCATATCTAGTTTACTAACATATCTATTGTGTGATATTTACGATCAACACAACGATGGGAGAAAAATCAAGACCTGGACACGCACTGTTCTGAAGACAAGCGAGTGTTAAAATGACAATTTGGGGAAATTCTGATGCTGTTTATCGTTTGAGGAACCCACTTTCATCATCAACATCAGGTAAGACAACCCTCATAATGCTGAGAAAGCAGCGGAAATGATGTTATTGCGGAGCTCAAGAAGAACGGTACTGCCTGTGGACACTATTATTGCTTATCCAGATATAGACCCTTCTCGCTGACGGCACAATGCCTCATTTCCAGTGCCATCATATTCAAGGGCTTGCATGAAGAAGGAGAACACGAAGAGAAGCCTTATACATTGTTAGTGTTATTATCGATCATCTCAGTACTTATGTCTAGTTTTGTGAAAAAAGGTCCTTTTTGTCACGCCTGTCCATTATCATCATTCCAAGTCATCATTCACCGACTCAGTACTGTTCTGCAGTCTCATCTTTACACTTACAGGAGGTGAAGTGGGGAAAAAAAGAAGAAAAAAAAGGAGTTGTTCTAGGTCCTTTAGCTTCAGAAACTCCTCCTAAAAAACTACAAGACTGACTGGGTTGTTGTTTTTCCAAATCTATTCTTCAAGAGTTAAGGTTTAGAGGGAGCTAAGCAGTCTAGTCCAACCTGACTGATGGAGTCAGTGATTAAAAGAGATGCCCTTCTACTTTTGTGCCAATGAGAGTTGAAATAAAAGGTCTTACCGTGGTCACTCTCTGTGCCAGATCTTCCCCAGTACCTCCGTCGTCGTTCTGGAGTGTGGGTGTGTCTCTCGATCACCGCGGCGATAAATCGAGTATTACTTACTGAAAGTGAGGAGAACACACACATAATTTAGAGGGGACACATTGTGGAAAATGGACTCTTTAATTGCTTTTATGCAAATAGTTGGGACTCTGGAAAGCCTGCCAACCCATCAAATGTGAAATAGCCACGTAAATCTTTTGCTCTCTGCCTACGCCTGAACATGTGTTTGTAAGCGAGCCGTTGGAATTTCATTGAATAGTGTCATTTCAGTTTGGAGAATTTACATAATAATCGCCCTTACACCAAATTTCTCTGCCCCCGACTTGGCAACAAGGCTGACCAAAGAGCACCTTGTCGCAAATCTCTCAGTTTCCAGGATTCTCCAGTAATGCCACAAAATGTCTCGAGAATTCTTGCTGCAGAATAGAAGACTAAAATGGAATTGTAGCCCACAAGCGGATATATAAAGTGTACTTTAATTCTTTGTCCTGAGAGTATTTTAGCAGAAGAACGTCAGAGACCTGATTAAGTCACCTGGGAACTGCTTTAAATTACGGAGGAAACACATAAATGTCTCTCCTTTCATAAACAGAAAAATATCTTCACATTGCAACGCTTTATTCACTTTCTCATTGACTGACATCACTCACGGTCACGTGATACCGCCAGCATTACTTACTTATGCCTCGGTCCTCGTGGCTGTCATCATCCCTCTCATCCCTGTCATTATCCAGGTTGGACATTCTCACTGACATTTCTGGTGCAACAGGGGGATAAAAAAAGTGGAGTCGGAATGTAAGAAAGATTGTGTGTGAAAATTTGCGAGGCATCGCACTGCATAAAATAAATAAATAAAGCATTTTATTTTCTCCTGCTTGGCAGGATATGTGTTAGAAGCTGCATTAAGGCGAACCAGAATCGTACAATTTTCTTACTTTGATGTCTTATATGTCAGTACAGTGAAGCAACGAATATTTGCAGGTTGTCACTCACATATTTACATGTTCACTGAATATTTTGACAGGGGGGGGGGTCTTATACACCGTTATACTCTAATAAAAAAAAAAACTCTTTTAACCTATTTTCTGATTTAATGCCTAGGCCAAAGCAAAAAAAAAGTATTGCTTCGCCGGCATCTTGGGGGATCTTGAACTATGTTAATGTCAGTTCAGCAGCTTTTGTTAGACAAAAGCATTGAGTTGTTGCTGTCTTGTACAAAAGAACTGTATTGAAATTATTTGAGGAGCTTCATTGAGACAAAGGTAGCTCCAAAATAGTAAATCATACAATTTTTTGTGAGGGGCGCACACAACGTGCAAAATCTTTGCCGCTACTTGCCGCAGAGCTTGGCCCTTATTCCCCGCGACTAGTGGGGGTGCACTCTATATTTGTCCAAGACACAGGTGATGCTTTGGAGTTCATACCTTGTGCCGCCAGTGGCGACATGTGCTGATGCGAGCGCCTGTGGATCTGGTGTCTGTACGCGTACACGGCCAATACCAGCACCATGATGCATCCCATAATACCTCCGGCAACCGGTCCCACAGGAGCAGTCTTGATCATGTTCAAAGATGCCACCTCCTCATCTGAAGAGGATATAAAGACAAAGAGGCGGGGGTCAGAAGTTACTTCGAAAGGATTCGAGACGATGCAAGAAGCCAGAAGCGTACAGAACAATAGCCGCTGTGCTGCAGCAACACATTTTACTTGCATTTCTTTGTGCTCACTAAAAACCATCTTAATTGCAAGCAGTTGGCCAATTTGACGGCAAGAAAAAAAAATCTGAAGGAAACGATACGTCATTTATTACATTTGTGTGGTCTTCAAAAACATATCTGCAGCACCATAAAAAAGTACAATGGAGTTTGTTGTTACTAATGGTCTCTCGAGTTACCGAAATCACAAATGACGTGGGCATTAATTGACTCACCAAGGAGGCCCATGGTGTCTACATATGGACTCTTTGCACCGACAATGCCCCCGAAGCACTCCTTCTGCAGGGCACAATACGGCTTGTCCAGATGGGTCTTGCCATCACTGTCCACCATACACCACTCACAGTCCAAAACACCAAAACAGTCGCTGAAACAGAACATAGTATTATTACAGTTTCACTGTTTGCAATCAACAAAAAAAAAACCCTTACGATATTGTCTTGATTGGTGTCTACCCTTTGCCCTTTTTATAGTGCCACCTGATGACGCTTGGCAAGCTACAAACATTTTTCATTTTGGACTACAGTGCTATTTTTGTAGAAAGGATACTGATGTTAACAGAGATTTCTTTGAGTGGTAAAATTATAAACGTCTGGGGAAATCTCCAAGTCACCTTCAAACTACTATTCTAATTTCTGTTCGTGATCACTAGGTGGGACTAAACAACTAGTTACAAGTGCGCGATTGCTTGGTCTCTTCCTGTAATGCACCTTCGAGAACATGGATCTAAAATTACAATTCAGAGGATCTTCAATTAAAATTCAAAGGGGTCCAGTTGCAAGGGATTTCCCAGTGCAAAGGTACGGAACTCAAAATGTTTCGCTTTGCGTAGCCAACCGACCAAACAATATAAATATAACAACTTTTTGTTTCTTTTTCACAATATTTATGTATAGTTTTGCACATACAAATAATGGAAGATGAAAAACATATCTCAGTGTACAATAAATGAAACTATTTTATTCCCTCTAAACTAAAAAAATTAACAATTTTGCTAGAATTTGCTTACAATTTAGAGCACCAGTGATGCCAAATCTGGCCCGCCACATCAAGTCAAGTTAAGTCAAGTCCAACTTTATTGTCAAATGTGCAGATGAAATTTCTTCCCTCTCAAGACAACATGCAACAAGAGGAGCCGCTGCCGCGAAAGCAAATCAAGCATGTCAAGTTCCATGCTGCGTGCTAAAGCCTGAACCAAAATTTCAAATTGTCATATGTAATCCACAATAACAGTCACTATTCTTGACTTCTGATTTTAAAACGAGTTATTCATCAATTTGTTGTGTGCTGTGTATGTAATATGTAGAGGGGATTAAACATTTATATAGTTCCCCAAAATTCATAATGGCTCAGCAAGGGAAACCGTAACTACAATGTGGCCCGTGACAAAAATGACTTTGATACCCCTGATTTAGAGTAAGCAGCACTGGTGTCTCAGACTACATTTCAAGTAACATTGAACAGGCAAATTCAGCCTTAAATTTCAATACAATCATAACAAGTAAATGCACATTTCAAGTGAAAAATTATTTTGTTTACCTTTGAGTAACGGCATTGGAGCTGCATTGACACATTCCTTCACAGCTGTAAAAGCTCGTTTGCGTTGCCTCAAAATCCATGCTAACCGAAGAGAATATTCATCTGCACTTGGCTCTCTGTTCGGTTAACTTGTTCTGAGTCAAATTTTGTTTTATAGAGGCCATACTGCATCCTGCATTTTGCCATGAATCTCTTTTGGCAAACAAATAGTTTGATAATGGTCACATGATCAAAACAAGAGACACCATGATGCTGAATATAGTCTGCGGTGGTGACATATGTGTGTGTGTGTGTGTGTGGTGGTGGGGGGGGGGGCAACAAAAACAGTCCTGTGATGATTTAGAGCAGTGGTTCTTTAACCAGGGTTTGATCGAACCCCAGGGGTTCGGTGAATCGGTCTCAGGGGTTCAACGCAGGTTAGGGCACAGCCGACTCAACACGTCAATGAGTGATGACATGCCCGCTTGGCCATCACTGGCTGTGGATGATCACATTACATTGCTTGTCCAATCAGTGCTGCGGGAAATTTAGTTCGCTCAATCATCAATGTGTAACTGTCATGATAGTACGTCGTGTGATTTTTTTTCCTGAATGTTTTAATACATGCTAACTATGTTGAGCAAAAAAAGAGTTAAGCAAAAAAAGAAAGTGGTCGGACGAATATGTAGTACATGGATTCACCTGCATCACAGAACGTGATGGGAATCAGCATCCTATCTGCACGATTTGTTGTGCCAAGTTGAGCAACTCTAGTCTCGCACCGGCAAAACTGAAAGAACGCTTTTTGAACCAGATTTTTATTTTTCAGTAATGATGGGTTCGGTGAACGTGCATATGAATTGGTTGGGTTCGGTACCTCTAACAAGGTTAAGAACCACTGGTTTAGAGTGTAGTAGAATCCACTAACTATATAATTCAGTGCATGTGTTCAAAAGAGGTGTTCGGGGTTCACCTGCTGCTGTATCTCTGGCTGCAGCGAGTGTTGATACACTGAGGCAGTGTGTCCTGTAGACTGGGATCGATCACATTCAAACTGAGTGGCTCCTGATGTACCTCACAGCTAGGATTTCTGTCAAATACAATTACGTAAAATACATTGAGCATGAAATGTGTTGCACAGATTGTTGTCTTTTTTCATGTAAATCAATGCAAAGAACTCTCCCAAAACGTGACTAAGGCTTTGACAAAAGAAGGGGGAAAATATATCTGATGACAAAAAAAAAAGAAAAAGAATAACGTCTTCCTGAAAGCAAGAGCAGACGTCACACTCGGAGGCTTGTGATGCTTGATGAAAGGAGGTGGGTGAAACCAGAGATTTGAAGGACATTGAATGATGGCACATTTTGGCAGAAAGAAAGGATTTCAACTGGAGACAGCTACAGCAATAAAGACAAAAGAAGTACGAACATTCAATAAAGAAACAACCAGACATTTACGATGGAGCTAGGATCATGCTTCTCTTGACATTTAAAACACACACACACACACACACACACACACACACACACACACACACACACACACACACAGCAAATGATGAGAACAGCAGAAGGAAAATGAAACAGACTTAAAACCTTAAGATCGCTACACAGAAATGATAAGTAGACTACCTACTAATGCACTATTTCTGTGACATTTGGCTGCTAGACTGGTGCAGTTTATGACCAAACAGCCAGATTACATATTCAACTGTCAATCTGAAACATAAGGTACAAGTCTACATCCTCCCCATTTTACTTCAAACAAAACTTTCTCCAAAACAGTGCCAAAATGTGTTAACTATTTGGCAATACCAATAAATAATGTAAATAAATAGATAAATAGATAATAGATATTTCAGGAATAAGTATTCCTGAAATATCGATTATGAAGCCGGTCAACTTCTCTACGACCAGGCGTTGCTAGTTTTCTTGGGGGAAAACCTGTCACCAATAATTTTTTGTTTCAAGGTGTAAGCTCTGAATAAATAATTGCATCTTTGAATATGACACTCAAGAAGAGTTACAAGAAAATAACTGTGAAATGCACTGAGCATCAGCACAACTGACCTGTTTTCAGCATTGGTGAGGTTGCCAGTACACTCATTCACCTCGAGGGGGCACTCACACGGGCACTCACACTCATTCTGCTCCATTCTAAAATGTAAAGAAACGTGATTTAATGATTCTGAGCGGAGGAAACGTTTATCGCTTTCTCTACTGGCACCTACACAAACATGTGTGCAATTTAAATTTGGAATGAGGTAGTTTTCACGTGAAAGGGTACCTGTGGCAGTTGAGACAAAGGCGGTCCACTGTGCTGCAAGCGCAGAAGGCCAGAGAGTCACACGTCTCGTTGACAATCCCAGCAAAAGCGTTGGTGCCAGGTATTCGTGTCAAACGATACTTAGAGCAATGGCTGCCATGGACAAGATTGGTTAGGTCCCCCTAAGGAAGACGGGAGTTGTGAGTATGAATATGAAAAGAGTCAATTGCATCCACAGTAAAAGGGAATCTGATGCTAATTCAGTGTTGCGCCACCAAATATGACCACGCGGTGGCAGCGTTAGATCACATTTTCAAGGCTTCAACCAGTCCTTACCGTGATGCTCGTGTTGAACTTGTAGAAGCGCTGCACAGTGCGATCACTGAAGCTGTTGCACAGATTCTTCTTGACAAAGTTGGGGTGGTTCAGTATATCATTGGCAACCAGTGGCTCCTGACATTAAAAGGAATAAGAGATTTTTCACACATATAAGCGATACAAATACATTTTATGTTAATAATCATCCCATGTTTCTATTTTTGGCAAACACATCAAAATATCAGTCAATGTCATGGGGCATATAAATTGGGTGCTTGTCGGGAGCGGCGTATTTTGTTGTAGTAATACTAACTTTATTCAGTCAAAATGACATCAACACACTAAGTTGTGTTGTTTATTTATAGATTTTGATATCTATTTGTGTTTAATGAGCACTTAAGCTTTGTGCTCTAGTGTAGATAAGCAATACAGACAATGGGTAGATGGGTGGGTGCCTTGTTTTGGGCTCTTTACCTTGTGTGTGATGTGCTGTTGCTCTGCAGGGGCATGACCTTTAGGGTCAATGAGAGTGGGATGGGCCACCAGGTACCCTCTGTCCTCCATTATAAAGCACCTACAAAAAACACATTATATGTCCATGTATGCATGCATTACGGCACAATATAGCAATAAAGTATTTTTTTCACGATTATTGCCCATGCAATATGAATATCGCAAAGACATGCAATAAATCATGTTGAATTGTATGCTATTATCTAAATTTGACCAGTCCAATGCAACCTTAAAATGTGCATCGCCATACATTTGATGAACAATATGGAGGAACATCACAATTTACTCAGAATCTATTGAGCTGTCTTATTTTGCTGCATTAAAAAACAACAATGTATTTCTTTCAGTAATTAATAAAAATGACATTTTCAACACACATATTGCATGTTCAAACTGACTATTGTTTTTAGCAAATAATCACTAACTTAGAATTTTATGGCTGCAACACGTTCCAAAAAAGCTGGGACAGGTGTCAAAAAAGACTAAGAAAATTGAAGAATGTTCATCAAACACATACCACAGGTAAACAGGCTAAGTAGGAACAGGTAGGTGCTATGACTGCATATAAAAGGCACTTCCCTGAATTGCTCAGTCGTAAACAAGCAAAGCTGGGACAAGATTCACCTATTTGTTCACAACCGTGTGACAGAATAGGTTCAGAGAATCTGGAGAAATCACTGCATCTAAGTGGCAAGGCCAAAAACCAACATTGACTGCTCGTGACTTTCGATCCCTAAGGTGGCACTGCATCAAAAGCTGAAAGCAATGTGTCAAGAACATCATCATATGGACTCAGGAGCACTTCAGAAAATCAATGTCAGTCAATATAGTTAGGTGCTACATCCATAAGTGCAACTTGAAACTCTACTATGCAAAGCAAAAGCAACAACAACCAGAAATGCCACCGGCCTCTTTGGGCCCAGGCTCATCTAGGATGGACTGATGCCAAGTGGAAAAGGGTTCTGTGGTCTGACGAGTCCACATTTCAAATTGTATCTGGAAATCAGGTGAATGGGGAATAAGGTGAGGAAACAGTGGTAAAACATGACCCTGTCCCAGCTTTTTTGGAACGCTTTGGAGCCATAAAATTTGAAGTTAATGACTACTTGTAAAACTCAATAAAGTTCATTATTTTGAACGTGAAATATCTTGTCTTTCTTAGTGTATTCAATTAAATAAAGGTTGAACATGATTCAGGAAATCATTGTATTCTCTTTGTATTACACAGTCGTCATATCCAGTTAAAAGAATACATGGTATGTTGTTTTATCTCCTCTCTTGCTGGACCAAGCAACTAATTGCACCCATTCTGCCAAATCTCGCCCGCTCCTGCACCAGATACTCGCTTTCGGTTAATCCTGTTTTATATGGCCTCTGCACGACAACAGAAAGGACGTGAAAGGAGTTGCAGCTGGGGGCAGAAAGACGGGTGGGGTACTACAGGGACGAGGGGGTGAAAGCATCAGATAAAGTGCAGAAACCCTTAAAGTATGTGGGGCAGATGATACATAAAGGCTCATCTCCAAAGTGAATACCAAGATAATCAGATTATCTACTCTTGCCTCTTTCCATTTGTCTTCTTTTGTGAATTCACTGATGCACAAAACAGAAGACACTGAAGAATTTGCTGAGAAGTGATGGTAAAAGATAGAACATAGCAGGAAGAAGTAACAATGCACACAAGAAGAAGAAAAGACGGCACGTAAATTTCCACCCAGGCCATAGTCTACCCACCTGATCTTGTTTCCCTTGTCCTGGTTGCAAATGGGAAGAAGGTCCAACAGAACTTTATAGAAGTAGCGAAGGGTAAAGTCTATGCCCATCACTGCCACTGCATAGCCTGGGGCCATCTGAGAGCTAGAGACAGAAGATGGAAGATAACCAGGGGCAGGAAAAGGTAACAACATCTTCATTTCAATATAATGCAGCTATTTACCCTCAATAATTGCCATCGCATAGGCATTCTGGAAACTCTGTTTGCACAAACTACACCCTGACTATCAAAACACGACACACTAAACCGGATATATCAAATATGCGGATCCTGTCAATGCATTTCTTGGTAAATAGTTCTTGCTCCACTTTTGTCTGTTGTGCTATGGCTATCATACATTGCAATTTAGGCTTACTAAAGTGGAACAGTCAACAAGCTAATCTCCACTGCAATTGCATGCCTCTCAAAAGCTCCAGCTAAAAGAACCTGTGTTGAAATGTTTCTGCGATTGTTGCTGCAGCATCTTGGCAAAGGGTGTGGGTCACTGTTGTGTTCAGACGAGACGTGTGGAAAAATATAATGCCATGCTCAGAGGTTTTTTTGGGGGGGAAGGTGAAAACACAGATGAGCACAGTGAATCCTACGACAGGACATCTTTGCATGTTCCTCATGCATTCAAATAAGCATGTAAACAAAAAGAATATAGTCTAGCTGCTCTACCCTAGGGGGAAGTTGGTACCCCTTGGAATTTAATCAATTACGCAAGACATCTGAAATCCTCTTTGAAGGGCAAATGTGATTTGTAGTTAATCAAGTAAATCATCCATCATTTTACCTGGAGGCATGGATGGTGTGGCTGATGGTAACAACGTAGCCTGCGCCACCTGCATCCAAGTAAGGTCCAGTAAAGGTGATGAGGCCAGGGTTGGCCACAGCGTGCTGGTACCTGGTACGCAACACAGCAAGTAGCCAAGAGAGAACTTGTGTATTTGGGATAACACAACAAATAAATTATATGATTAAACATGGCAGCATTTTGTACAGTCAAATGTATAAAATAGCTACATTCATTACAATTTGTCCGGGGATTGGGGGGGTGGGGGGTGCTGGAGCATATCCCAGCCGTCTTCGGGCAGTAGGTGGGGAACACCCTGAGCCAATCGCAGGGCACGCAGAGACAAACAACCATCCACGCTCACACTCACACCTAGGGACAATTTGGAATGTTCAATCAGCCTGCCATGCATGTTTTTGGAATGTGGGAGGAGACCGGAGTACCCGGAGGAAACCCACGCAGTCCCGGGGGAGAACATGCAAACTCCAACTCTACACAGGGAGGCCAGAGCTGGAATTTAACTGAGTACCTCAGCACAGTATGGTCGATGCGCTAACCACCAGACCGAGAGATGTGTAATGATAAAATATCTAAAATAAAAACATCAATGACTGCAAATCATTGTGCACACATTCAGTACTCATATCCACATGCACCTGTACACACTGCCACACACGCACGCACGCACGCACACACACACACACACACACACACACACACACACACACACACACACACACACACACACACACACACACACACACGTTTGCCCCTTTGCTTCATCCAAACTAAGTCTCACCATTGTCTGCGGGTGGGGTCAAAGGCTTTGTCCATCAGTGATCCAGGGTAAATCCGGAGCACCCCACTGAGCGTTGCTATGTAACGGCGCACAATGTAGCAGTTGAGGCTACTCATTTCCATTAGTGTCATCCACTCATCCGTGACATGACTGGTCGCCATAACCTCGTTCCTGACAGAGGACTGCGGTGGTGAAGGATGAAACATGAGGGAATGTGAGATCACAGTACAGGTGATGAAGAACGACATATGTTTCAGGAAAAAGTAGGGGAGAGGAAATCAGACTTTTATGTTCTTGAGCTTTCGGGTTTGGCAAAAACAGGTCAGATTTTCATCATATAAACTCCTTCTAAATGCACCAAGAAAATCCCATCGTTGTATTGTAGGGGTGTCAAACTCATTTTAGCTCATGAGCCATTAGCCATATTTTTGTTGTTGTGGTTGTTGTTGTGTACCTTGAGGCCTGGGTTGGCAATGAGCCTAGTGTTATCACTCAGATAGGCTGTGTAGTGTTCCACCATGCGCTTTGTTTCTGGCTGACTGAGGTGCTCATAGGGAGATGAGAAGCTACCAGCTGCCAGCATCACTGTGGGGGATTCTGAGAAAGGCAAAGAAAGGGACTGAGAGGTTTTCAGAGCCGATATCTGCATGGGCACACATGCACGCACATAACAAAACATTTGGAATTTTGAGAAATTTAGCTTGCTTGGTCTTACCAACAGATGCAAGCTGTTTAAAATGGAGGCAGGAGCTGGGCTGACCCAGTAAGTCCAAACGATGGTACAGGAGCTTGGAGCTGGGTGCGGTGTTCAGATGTTTGAGCTGCTTCACTGGAATTTCTGGCTGCACGTACACGATGCACAGGATGAACGACGTGTCTTGAACCTAAGGCAAGATGGGCAGTCATATTATGGATATGGCTATTTTAATGAGCAGGGGTTTTGAGATTGTATCTTGGACTTTTATTAAGACCAGGTTTTCATGTTTTCTTGCTTTGTATTTTATATGTTCAAAATGTTAACGTAGGCGGCACAGTAATCGACTAGTTAGCACATCCGTCTCACAGTGCAGAGTTACAGGGTTCGATTCTGGCCCCGGCCTTCCTGTGTGGACGTTGCATGTTCTCCCTGTGCCTGCGTGCGTTTTCTCCGGGTATTCTGGTTTCCTCCCACATTCCAAAAACATGCATGGCAGGGTAATGGAACACACTCAATTGTCCCTCGGTGTGATTATGAGCGCAAATGGTTGTTCGTCTATGTGTGGCTCCGGGACGCACGCGACCCTTGTGAGGATAAGCGGATAAGAAAATGGATGGATGAATGTTAATGTAATACAGTCCACGTAATTGTGTAAAAGAGCACGGCTTACATCAGTTTCCATGTCTAGCAGTAAAGCACAAAATGTATGACTCTGCTAAAGAGTTAATCAGAACCATCATTCTCCAGCTTCACCTACCAGCTTCCACGCATAGCTGACATTGTACGCATCTTTGCGGTTGTCTCTCAGCCGGTTAGTGTGCCAGGATAAAGATGAGTTCACTGGAACAGCGATGACCTGACTGCCCAATGGGAGACTGCAGGAAATACACTTTGGTCAATAATAGCACATGGACAGTCACTTTTTTAAAATTTTTTATTCCACAGCTATTCTCACTTGAGGATGTTCTGTCGCACAACATGGAATCCAGGAATATTCTCATAGTGGATAATGTCCGTGTGAAGAGGAGGCTCGGTCATTAGGTAAGGCCGCGTTAGTGATGGATGCATCAGGGTATAACCTGGAAAAAAACACTCCAGCCAATTTAAACTGTGCTTATACATGACCCAAAAAAGAAGACTACAAACTTGAAATTTAAATTTCCTGACATCCTGAATGTGGATGATGATATGCTCTCCAAGGTGCTTCAGAAATCACACGGCATATCAAAGCGCAAACACCATGCAAACCTGGCCCCCGCAGGCTAGCAGCCATATTGGGATGGCATCAGAACATTCTGATCGGAAGAGAGGATTTCACCATTGCTCGTCTTGCACAGTAAGTCTGACTTTTTTTTTTCTTCGACTGAGGATGAATCATTTGAGCAATGATAATTCCCCAAGTCTGCGAAAAAATAAGTATAATAAGAATAAGGAAACACTGAATGAATCTCCTGCCATTTACACAAAGCGTTGCATGTTGTAACGCTACCAGGTGCGTGTACCATAATTTTGAGAATAACACATTTTGCTCACAAATAAATAAACAAACAAACATTTGAATCACAACCTGGGGACCGGATTACATACATAAATACCAAAACAAAACCCAATTTCTTCATATTGTAGAGACGTGTACTGGTATCTGTAGGGCTTGTGAAAAAGGTGTACTTTCAGTCTAATATGATATGAAATGTCTAATTGTCAAATTTATTTCAGCTGCAACAAATTATTATTTTAATAATCACTGTCGATTATCGGATTAAACGACGTGCCATACCTTTATAAAAAACGTTCAGGGCAATATTTCCTTTGTACAGTAACATTTACAAATCTGACATAAAAAGACATCATAACATCGAACCATTAAACACTTTTACTCTAATATAAAGTCAAGAGGTGGTGTTGAAGGACTCTAGTCCTATTTCAAGGCTTTTAAACTGGTTCAATACAGCAAGAGCTGATTTTTGCTGCTTCACATTTACAAATATGTCATTATGTGTACAAATAAGTGTGAGAATATCGACATTTTTTTCAACCAAAAATGTTTTAACACTTACACGAATTTATATGTTCATTGTACTGGAAATTTAAGATCACATGTAAATAGTTTTTTAATGATTGTCATCGACTAACTTGCTTTAAATGGAGACTGAATGCTGAGTGAAATGGCCGGAAATTCATTAATGATAGAAAGTGAATCCCTGTGGTTTATTTGCCGCCAGGGAGACGAGGATTAGTTACTTAGAGGAGAGGACCTGCACTGCAGGAGGATAATCTTTAGCCTTGCCAGCAAGCAAGTGCAGCTCATAGCTTTGTGCCTCAGGCTGGCAGGAGTATTCTCACCAGTTTGAAAGCAGCAGCTCTGAGCTGATTGGTGAACTGTCACGAATAGCATGCTGCTTCTGATTGGTAATATTGTCGGAAGACTGTGTTTATGTGTGAGGGAGTTGATACAACAGATTCTGAGTCTGTCTGGGCGAACCCCCCCCCCACCCCCCCAAAAAAAACGACGCTTGATCGCATTGTCTGGAATCACGATTTCGATGAAAAAAGACAAATTGCTCAACCCTGTCTGCCAGAGCTAAATATGCAACAACACATCTTTGAATCTAGTCTAGAGTGAAATCATTCTGGGATGAATAAGGCCACCAAGGGTCATGTAACTGGATGCTGAAGGGGGAAGTTACAGTAGGATATGTGACTTTAGTAGTAACATATTGCAAATATGTAAGTGTACAGTATCCAGAGCATATTATACAAGATAAGATAAGATAAGATAATCCTTTATTTGTCCCACACTGGGGAAATTTACAGCCTTCAGCAGGAGAATGAGGATGTGACATTTAAAAAAAATCTAAATAAATCCTTGTTACAACCTCTCACAAAATTCCCATTACTAAAATGCCTTCCTTCTAAAAATATACTTTTGCCTCTTGTCACCAGAGTATTTTCCTCAATTGTAGAGCGCTGGTTTAATGCCGGGCGGCCCGGTGGACCAGGGGTTAGCGCGTCGACCTCACAGTGCAGAGGTCGGGGGTCAATTCTGGCTCCGGCCTCCCTGTGTGGAGTATGCATGTTCTCCCCGGGCCTGCGTGGGTTTTCTCCGGGTACTCCAGTTTCCTCCCACATTCCAAGAACATGCATGGCAGGCTGGTTGAACACTCCAAATTGTCCCTAGGTGTGAGTGTGAGCGTGGATGGTTGTTCGTCTGTGTGTGCCCTGCGATTGGCTGGCAATTGGTTCAGGGTGTCCCTCGCCTACTGCCCGAAGACAGCTGGGATAGGCTCCAGTAACCCCCGCGACCTTTGTGTGGATTAAGTGGATCGGAAAATGGATGGATGGATGGATGGTTTAATGCCATCTAATAACTTTAATGGTCATGTTTATGGAGGTGCTCCACTAATAAGCCAGTATGGCAATTACCTGTAATTTGATGGCATATTTGTAGCAATGGCAAACATTTTAAAGGGGAAGGAAGAGACAACAGTGGTTCAATGTTACAAATCTGCACCCATTGACTGATATCGCCGCGTAAGTAATCCAAGTAAAAGTTCTGAGGACCAATGTAAACCATTGGAGTTACTACCGGTACTCAGCAAGTTCCAAATGTTCTTTACAATCAGAAACATTTTGAACGAGCTGTAAAGATTGTGATACGAGCAACATTTCTTTCGTTGTCCTACGAGACGTTGTTTGGACTGACCTTTGTTGTCAATGAGGAAGGTGTACGAAGCAAGAGAGTCCTGATAATATGTGACATCCTCCAAAATGTAGGCCAGGTTCACGTCGACTCCAACCACACCTAGGAGCAGGTTCCCAAAATAGCAGGGCCGACTCACAGTCATAATAAAACCTGGAGAAAGAGAATGTACACAACATGCAGCATTTCAAATCAGGCCCATCTAATCTTGTGGTTGGCTTTATCTGCAACCACTGTCAATCGAAACATAAACACATATAAATGTGCCACCTATTCTCAACAGACGAGTACGATTACTTATCGAATGGAATGTACAGCTGTAATTTGTGCAGCATGGGAAAAAAAAATCTCTATTTTGAATCAAATCTGCTCGTGCAACACAAAAACTAACATCTCAAAATTGAGACATTTTGCTTTAGCATGAAGCATTTTCCCCCATATTTGCGACATGTGTAATTTGACTGGTGTTGTAATTCTACTCTCGTAGGCTGTCAAAAGCTTCTTTTTTTTAGTCAGTTAAAAGCCTAACGCACAACACACATTCAGATGCCTCCTTACAGTGACTTTAAATACACTTTCAAACTGTTGGTATATACTAAACATTCACTATATTCAGCATAAATGAGACAAACAACAAAATGTTGTTCGCCTCATCAATATGCAAACACTGAAAGGTTTTGTTTTTAACCTACCTTGTCACTTTTAGAATAGTATCCAGAATTATGGCCTTTGAGCTTTATTAACATATGTTCATTGCATAAATGGTATATATTTAGGAGACTATTAAGCTATAATTTTGGGCTGCGCAATATATCGGAAAAGTATCATTATGGTGATAATGCCCCATACAACATGAATTTTGTAAAGACGATCAATAAATTCCAGAAGTAATTGTATGCTATTAAAAAAAAGGTACAGGTTAAATATCGCTATGATGTTGGTATCGCTATATTCAACATTGATTTCGCATAGTTTTACAATATCGTATAGCCCTACTATAATATATATCCATATACATATATATGTGCGCGTTTTTTTTTTTAATCAATATATGGATAATAGCTTTTGTCAAGTTGTAGGTGTTCAGTAGGGTCTTGAGCACGCACCATCTCCCATAGGGTCAGTGTAGGGCAGACTGAAGCGGACGAGGTCGATCATGCGGTTGGGCAGGTTGATATAGAAGCGGCCCACTGTTGTCTCCAGGTTGCTGAGCTGGTTGAGCACCATCATGCTGCCCTTCACGACAGGCATCATGACCACTGTAGATGATCCCGATGAGGACGCCACAGGAAAACGGTCAACGCCGTACTTCACCGAATTCTGCTCGGCAAGGTCTCGCAGGAAGGCCAGCTCCTTCAGACCTGTTATTCCCTCTGCAAAGAGAGGGTGGGACGCACCAGTGTTGAGCACACTATAATGTTCCATCTAGATTATTACCAGACGTATACAGGCATCACTACATTAAAAATCTGATGAGTTGGGTAACTAATGCGTCAAATGTACGCAAGCAGCAGCTAACTCTGTAGTCAAAGTAATGTTCTCTCTAAGCTGCGCACATGAGCAGTTGCAGACTGCTCTCACTCTCCTTGCGCACAGCCAATGTATGCATCTATGTGTTTTATTAAATGCCATGTTTTCCATTATTGGTGAGTAGATAATGGATACTTGTTTTTAAACAACCAAATTATGCTTAAAATGACCTGTGTGATAAAATAAAAGAAACAAACTAGGGTTGATTTTATTTGTGTCACAAATCTCTCTGCAATGATATGTTCTACTTTCATATATAAGTGGTTTGAATATTTTCGTGACATACCTACAGCATGTAGCTTGTTATGATGTCAGGTTTTGGAGAGCTGTAATACTGGTTTGGCTGCCGTGTGCTTGTCTGTTGCTGCCATAAATATATACGAATGGACTATCAATCGGCAGCCATCTTATGATGGGCTGCCACTTATATAGTGCTTTTCTACCTTTGGTATTCAAAGCACTTAACACCGTTTCCCCATTTACTGACAGTATCAGGAGCAACTGAGGTTTCAGTATCTTGCTCAAAAACACTTTGACAAGGTCGCAATGAACGTCTAACCTATGGGTTGGGAGACAACCACTCAACTTCTGAGCCATGCCGCCAATATGCATGTTTTACGGTAGGATCTCTGTATAGAGTAGTGAAGGCCACTCAACAAACAAACTTGACTGTTTGCATCAACCATTCGGAGTTTATTGACTTTCAGCATTTAGGTTTCCATTTTACAATTAATTTTGTCCTGGTGGGCTTTGCTTTCATTTCATTGTTCATGGTTCTGACAACAGGAAGCAGACCAATCTTTGAGTAGCACTCACAGATTCCAAATCACATTCTTACCAATAAAATGTGAATGTCACACTTCTTCCAGACTCATTGGCAAAACCTTACGCCGCACACTGTGGCAGTTTCACCGTGGAGATAGAAAATTACGGAAAAACACAGCAGAGTGGCTTAGCGAGTGGCAACGTAAGATGGCCGCCAGTTGCTTCACTTCTTGCTGTGGCGAGTAAATCAGTTTTCGCATGCAAATACTTCATGCTGTTTTCTACTTTCTTCCCTCTAAATGTTCCTGCTGTAGATAGCGAATTTCTCCATTGTGAGACAAATAATGTTTTCTTATCTTATCTTATGCGGCATCGTTAGTCCATTCATATATGCAGTTCATCTGTGAATGTATCTCTCCATGGTCCAAGAAATGCTCAGGGAGTTTGTGTGAATGCTCAGGCACATGGAAAGTTAGAGGGAATACCAAGTTGAGCCAAACCTCATCTCCTGCCTTTAAAGGTCATTAAATGTAGCCGGAATAACCACTGCTGCCCCACGCAGCTGTCACCTGGAACACTGGCACCTCGGATAGAGTGCAGAATGTCTGCCACAATTCAATCACTGACTGGATTACAGAAGAATCCCAAATTAATGCCAAGGCTTGTCTGTGGATAATCGTGCTGGGTGACTGACACAAGGCAAAGTCATCCCGGGTGGCAATGTCACATGAACACAAAAGGGGGCTCTTGCTGACAGCAGATCTTCCCTTCAATGAAAATAGAAGGTAAACATGAAGATCTTCAAGGACCCAGACCAAATATAAGAAAATATAAAATGATGACCTTCACGATTTGAGCACCATCATGTTTTTAGTCAGCACTACTCACAAAACTCTCTGAGTGATCGGCAGCACATGCATCACTAATAAAACTCTGGATGATAAGATGTTTGCTTCCTGTTCATCAAGGACCTCTTTAAATTGGTACGGTCCTCTCTCAGTCACATGCAGGCACAATGAGCCTTACATCCTTTGAAGTCTCGCTCGCTCCCCTCTTACATGTACCTAATTTACATTCCCCGGGTGCAAAAATTATTTGTTTGCTAATGCATGCGGTGTATGTGTGTATTGCAGAGAGGGGAGGCACTTAGAAGGACCGCATAGACAGACAAGGACAATAAAATAGGAAAAGGAATCACGCATAAACAAAACAAAAAGGCCTTTGAGGTTTCTGAGCCCTTCTCTATCCTCTGTTCTTCTCTCCACAGCACATGCACAAAATACATTTATAATAGCCCGTTGGTGCTGCTACCCAGACGTCATGCAAAACGTACTTGATTTTTCACCCTTTGAGGGCAAAAGATGTAAATGTCCATTCAAGGTAGTTAAAGTAACAAGAGTGTTGTGCTGTTTTGAATTACAGTAATCCCTCGTTTATCGCGGTTAATGGGGACCAAAACCACCCGCGATAAACAAAAATCCGCAAAGTAGCGACCCCCCCCACATAGGTACATGTACATAATATTTATAAGGCCACATTTAATGGTATACATGCATGTAGAAGTACATTTTTAAGAAATTAACATGACTTAATGCTGTATACTAATAGATTTAAACATGTATGTTACGTTAGTTTATGAATAACAAAATACAGTAAACATATACTGTACATGTAGTACTGTATATGTTGCTCTATGTGACTCGCTGTTGTTTTGCTGACTTTGGCTGCTTCTCACAGACCTTTTGCGGACTTTTTGCGGACTTAAACTTTTTTTTTTCTCTTTATGAATATGTTTGAAAAAATCCGTGATACACTGAAGCCGCGATAAACGAACCGCGAAATAGCGAGGATCACTGTATTCTTCAAGAAGATATTTGTCATTATTTATCCTAATCAATACCTGATTTTACTTTTTAGCATTCGTGTACATTAGCACTGTGCCAAAGAAGCAAGACAAGTCGCTCTTTGTTTTAAAATATGTGAATATAAAAAAGTAATAAAATAAAATGTCAAAAGTATAACTGAGTTGTTGAGTTGAAAGTCTCACACACTAACAGTGGTACAACAATGTATTCGTGCGCCCCTAAGGGTGGAGTGACCAAGTGACTGACAATAGCATGTCTGACTCTAGATCAAGCTGGCCATTAAATTCAATGTTAGTGTCTCCTCCATGCTCCTTGTGAGTGCTTTCATTTCATATTTGTGTGTTTGTGTGTCCGCTTGTAACGTTCAAATGAAGTGCATCGGGGAGTGTGGTCTATTTTTCCACTTCTCTCAAGCGACAACCTATTTGAAGCTTGCTGAGAGGTCAATGTTTAGCTTGGCAACACAAGCAGAAATTGACCCGGCCAGCGCTCATAACTTGGAAATCTTGGGGTACACTTCACTCAAGTTACCATTGTGATTTACAAACAACACTCGGATTTGTTAAGAAAGTAAATAGTTGTTGCTTTAACCTAGCATAACAATGCCTAAAATCTGGAAGAAGTTCAGATAAGGGAGCACGACTCGTAGCGTGATGAGGGGAAGACTCTATTGACAGACCTCCTGCTGTCTGCTCCTTTGTGTGGAACATAATAATAATTTGAAAGCCTGTGTGGTTTTTTTCCAAAGGTCTGTTAAGTGGTCAACTCACCATTCATGAGTGCATACGTGAGGATCATGACAGAGTTGTTGAAGTGTCTGTTCTCCTCTTTGACCACACTGAGCGTGGCTTTCTTCTCCTGCTCTGATGACTCTCGAGATGTAATCCCAGAAGACAGGTAGATGATAACCATGTCTGTGGCTGGTGGAGGACAAAAAAAAAATGTCAGATAAGAAGCTTGTTTGTTAAGTGAATAGTCCCTTGGTGATAGCATCATCATATGAATCCACTCCCTTACTGGTACTCTGCTTGCTAAGGCTGCTGGTGTTTCTGAGAAGCTGGAAAGCCCTTTGGAAGCCCGCTGCGTGTTGCGTGGTGCCATCAGTGGCCTTGATGTTGGAGATGAAGCTGCTCATCTTCCTCTTTGTCTCGCTGGTGGCCGGAGAAAGCAAACTCTTGTAGCACTGGTCGAGAGAGCAGGAGCGGACCGTCTCTGCCACTGACAAAACGGCGATCTTGACAGGAATGACAGTGGTATACAGTATTACATGACGGAGAAAGCAATGGAACAACACCATTGTGATGCAAAACCAGTACTATCAACAAGTTTGATTCCATAATAATTAATGAGTATATAGGATCTGTTGCAAAACCCCAACTTCATTTTCTACATATTATTTCACTTAAAGAATGTTTTGCTGTCAGAAAACGTGGAAAATTCATATAATATTACACATCATGTCATTTAAATAAGGGTGGCTTTCCGTACCTTGTCATGTTCATCAATTGCATAAAGGATAACCAGTGCTGAGTCTCTGGCAATTTGAAGCTGTGTTTCAGTAACAGACGCACCGTGATCCACCATTACAACAATATGTTTCGACTGGGGACGCACTGCAGAAACATAAACAGGCCTGTGGAAAATACACACAAACACCAAAACGACATATTAATGTCCTGATTCTCTCCTCAGTGGTTCCACAATTCAGTGAAAACATTTCTATTAAGGCAACTTGGGTCACTTCAAAACAAAACAAAACAAACAAACAAATAAACAGTTTAGTGTAATGTCACCCTTTTATGCCATTCCTCCAATAGCATCAGCGTGCGAGCATCAAAATGTATCTTTGCAGCCCACGTGCTTGTACAAACACAGTGCTTAGAACCGCAACTGTTCACCATTTTCTTTTTTTAACTTAAATTATATTTCTGTAATATTTATCCTATGGTTTCATTTAGTACGTCGCTGTGGGTGGGTTAGTGTGCACGTAACAGCTGGGTAGAGCACAGGGGATATCAGAGGATTGAGGGGGTTAGCTTCAGTGTGTGTGGTCTGCGGACAATAACATTGGGTGGAGAGGTGGAGTAATGTCCTCACAATGCCTGATTCACATACACAGCAAGAAAAGGAACCCAATCGCACTCGTAGATACGTGCCAGTTTACTAGCCCGAGCAAAAACAAAAGACATGACTGACGGTCAAAGCACCTTTTATCCCAAGCAAGTGCGAAAAATACATATAAAGGTAAAGGAAGCAATTGAAAGAGATGTCTTTCAGTGGTAGTCAAATAAAAACCACAACGGTGGAGGTGTGAAATTCCACTGAGCCTCAGTGGTACCCAGCCACGTTCCTGTCGAGGGTATGTGTGGTCAAGAGCATGCTGCCAACATGCCGCCTGGGCCCCCCACAGCAACTGGCAGAGAAGTGAATGGGTGAGGAAGAGGAAGAGCAATGAAGCATGTTACAGGGAGAAGAGAAGAGAGAGAGGGTGACACCGTTTGGCTAAGAGGGTAGTGTAGTCGATTGCCTGGCAGAGTAATCGTGTAGTACTCTTCCATAACGGTAGGTAGCAGGAGCTAGCTAGCTAATTGTTTTATGCTTCGAGACAAGCGAAGTTTCCGGCGCGAGGCAATACAACAAAAGGTATCTTTCATTTCGATTTACTTTTACCGAATATGCAACGGCACTGACTCCGTTGTGCTTGGTATGTGGTGAAATAGCGCTATGGTCCCAAGTAAGCTTAAACTCCATCTCCAAACAAAACACCCTTCACTTCGAAACAACAATGTGGAGTATTTTGTCCGCCTGCGTGAATACAAACAAAGTGCATGAGAAAAAGCGCAAAGGTAAACAAGAGAGCCTTGAAAGCAAGTTACCGTGTCGCTGAACATGTGTCTAAATCAAAAATGTGGCAGGGCAATTAATACTTCTCGCCTGCAAAGCCATTGTAAATGAGGTGTTCGGACGTGAAGCGGCTAAAGAAGTAGCCTGACTGCTATAAAAACTAAAAACATAGAAAGAATGAGAGCTAATTCTGTGTCTTTCATCGATTGCTGCCAGGATATCAGATCTGTGTTCATCCAAACCATTTATTACACTGAGTGAGAATAAATATGAAACATTATAAAATATTGGATTGATGTTGATTTGATTCCTATTCAAGGTGTGATAATATACAGTAATCCCTCGTTTATCGAGGTCAATGGGGACTGAAACCACCCGCGATAGACCAAAATCCGTGAAGTAGCGAACCCACCCCCGTACAGGTATATGTACAGGTGTATGAGTATAAATATTTATAAGGCCAAATTTAATGGTATACATGCATGTTTGTAGTAATTAACATGACTTAATGCTATATACTAATATATTTAAACATGTATAAGTTAGTTTAGGTTGGTGTTTGAATAACGAAATACAGTAAACACATACATGTAGTACTGTATATGTTGCTCTATGTGACTTGCTGTTGTTCTGCTGACTTTCACTGCCTCTCGTGGACCTTTTGCGGCCTTTTTGCAGCATTTTCGCATTTAATTTTTTTTTTATGAATATGTTGATGAAAAATCCACGATGCACCGAGGCCGCGATAAACGAACCGCGAAATAACGAGGGATCACTGTAGCATTATTTTTCAATGTTAAAAAAAGGCTTATAATAACAATATAACACTTAATTGTTGAAATAAGCTTTTTTCATATTTTCAGCTTGTAGTGTGCCGCTGGATTTTTTTCAATGAAAGAAATGTGCCTTGGCTTGAAATAGATTGAAAAACACTGGGTTAGAGGTTGCATGAAAGGGTTAAAATGGCAAAAGGATTGAGAAGTCAGGAAGGTAGAGCGTGAGGAAGAAGAAGCACGGCCTCACAGCGAGTCTCGTAAATGTTACATACAAAAGGTCCACAGAGGGAACAGTCAACAAAGTTTGTGTTCTACCTGCTGCGGTGTTCATAACTTCCTTTGCAGTGGAACTTGTGGGCCGGGAACACAGTGAAGATGCCCTCCTCTGAGCTGAAGTACTGCCACTTGATCCCTGGGTTGGATTTCAGATTGTCTGCCAAAACTACGGACCGAAGACAACAAGTGGAATTATGGCACTGATGATGTCTGGTGTCATTCCAAAAGTACATGCATACATCTCGTAATGCAGGAATTGTGAACTGACTTACTCTCTAAAGTGGGTAAATATATACATTTATTGCTCGATTTAATGGGTATCTAATGGTAAGCACTGAGAACGTGTGACTTGTCAGCAAGTTTGTGCTGATGGGTTAGGTAAGGAAGCAAACATTTTTCAAAGATTGTGAACATTTGCAAATTGAAAGGGGGAAAGAAAGAAAACCCAATGAGTCCATCGGTGACCAATAAAACTCTCCTGAGAGAGTGATGGTCATAAATATGACTAGAGCGTAAAGATGATTAACTAGCAGACGCCAATGACTCTAACAAGAACAATGGAAAAGCTAGGCTTGAATTTGCCACAAAAGTACAGATGAAAAAAGAAATTCTGGGACAATGTCTAATCGACTGATGAGACAAGAAATAGTCTCGATCAAAGTGGCGGAAAGGCTTAAGCGCTGAGAAAGAAATGAGCTGCTCATCATTCCATACAAGTGATGAAACTCACTGATTAAGGCTTGGGCCTGGATGGCTTCAACTGTGACAGGCACGCCAGTTTATAGGAATCTTAAACCTTCATCCTTCATCATGCATCAAGATAATGACCCAAAACACACCGCCACAACAGCAGAGGATTTCATCTGGGGGCAAAAAGTTTGCGAAATCTCTAAAGCTCTTTCATTTCTTTCAATCAGTCAAATGGCAACAGCAGACTCAGAATCAAGGTCATTGTAGTTATTGAGAGCAAACAAAAATACTCAAACTAAAAAGCATTTTTCTTAACGAAATAATGATCCTTTAAAAAAAAAAACCCGAAAACGAACTGAAATTACATGTTGCATATATCCGCATAAAACTAATTCAAACTAATTTGAATTATAGCGAAAATGTCCTTCACGTTCACCTTTGTTAATCTAGATCATAAATGAGCTCTTAGGATTCTTTTTAAATGCATTTATTTCAGTACTGCTGAACGTCCATACAGAAGAAGGAAAGTCAAAAGAATTGTTTGAAAATTGTGGTTTCCTTTATTATTACTTGGTGATTTTTTTTTTTTTTAAATCTTACACTGGTCAAACATGCCACACGCACACACACCCACCCCCCCCCCACACACACACACACGTATGTATATACGTATGTATATGTGTGTGTATGTGTGTGTGTGTGTGTGTGTGTGTGTGTGTGTGTGTGAAAAAACTAAACTAAAACAAAGTATTTGCGAGGACAAAGAACTAAAACTTGTTCTATAAATTGAATAAAAAAAAAAAAAGTCAAAAGCAAACTGTAATGAAAAATCCAAAATTGTTATTATAGCCATGCTCACAATTTCATCGTGGCATTTTGCAAAATGTTAAGCAATTTTGCACATACCTTCTTAATACATTCATAATTGTAGTTTCGGCACTCTTCGTTATATGCATGACTGTTCTTGATCACTATTCCACACTGTTGGACACTTTGCCTCGCGACTCTCTGCACAGCTGTCTTTGTTTGATGCTACCACAATAAGGGCATCTTTTCATTGCAGAACAACTCTTTACTTAGAGTAGCCTATGTGGCCCGTCCTAAATGCTCATTTTGTTTTAGGTGCTTGTTACAGCAATACTCGAGTGGGCTTTAACCCTGGAGAACCCACGGAGACAAATTTCTTGTGTGCTTTTAACACACTTGGCTGATAAAGATGATGATGATTTGCCACATTTGGCTCTGTGCACATGTCACTGCAGAGAGTGCGGGACAAGCTGAGACAACAGCATTAACTCCAAGAAGTTAACAGCATTTGTTCAGCACTAACTGAATTTTAGTAGGTCACACAGTGAACATTCTCCACGCAGAGATCCCATCACAAAGCCAGCGACTTCCTTGCCGCTCGCAGCAACATAACACAACCTTTCACACAGAGCAGGAGGAGAGAGGCGTCACATTTAGAGAAAGTTTTGGGGCCTCATTAAAATGCCACCAGACAAGAAGGCAGCATTCCAGACTCACATGAGGACAAATCCTACAAGGCTGCAGTTCTTCTTTCTTGTATTCCATTTGCAATCTTTGCCAGCAAACAATAACAGTATAATGTTATGCCATGACTACTATATATTATTAAAAACCAAAAGTGTAAGAAATCGTTTTGATTTACATATATTAGTCAAATATCTGTAATTTCTTCGAGGATAGTTCACTTTGGTATGTTAATGAATTCTGTATATCACAAATTCAGTCACAATAACAGCAGATTTTGTTGCAAAACTTCCTTTCGAACAAAGGTTTATTACGATCGTTGAAGCATAAGACAGTTTGTGCAAACTGATGATATTTGATAAGGGGTGTTCTGATCTTGCTGCCAATACTCATCGTTCAGGAGCGAGGAAAAATATGAAGCGATGCAGCAGAGGAGAAACAGATTCAAATGGAAACAAGAATGGGAACAAGGGAGTCTAACCACGACAGCCTCTCGACAGTGGAGAACTAAATAGTTTGGTATGGTCCCAAGCTACTCCACCATTAAAACCTTTTTAACTACAGAGGAATCTTAAAATAGGCTGTGCAATCCGCAAGACAAACTTCAGGGAAAGTTTGTAACGTCACAAAACCTGGGAGAGTTGAACCACTGTCATGGATGATTATGCGAGGCATACAACCTCAGTGCGGAAAGCATCGAATGGATCAAATGTACCGTATTTTCCGCACTATAGGGCGCACCAAAAAGTCTTCCATTTTCTTAAAAGCTCACTGCCGCCTTAAAATCCGGTGCGCCTTGTGTATGGTCATTACGGTAATATGTCGACCCCAAAATGCCTCCTTGCTGGAGACATGCTTACTATGTTAAAACTTGCTGTTGGTTCAGTGAACTGTGTTGCTGCTTTATTTATTACGTTTTTGTTGCAGCTCTGAAAAAGGGAGAGCTGTGGTGTTGTTTTTTTAAAAACGCACACTTTATTAATGATTTTCAGTCTCGACAAATACAGTTACGTCTTTGTCTCTCTCCGTGCCTTCTCTTCTTCCGTTCGACTCAAGAGGCGTTCATGACCACCTCCGAAAAACGTAAATTAACGATTCCTTCAATGAAACTACGTAAATTGAAAATAATGCATCAAAACAGAAAATCAAGCGACGAAATCACAAAATAAATTCTATAGCCCCCCCTACAGAATTTATTTTGTGATTTTTCTCGTTTGTGAATACACAACAAAGGAATAAATAACAAAAACTTCTGAGACTGTCCAGTCTGCAAAATTTTACTAACATCTGATCGTTCTGTTGGAGCTACCCTCAAGGAAATGTCAAGGGGGGGGGGGGGCTATAGAATTTATTTTGTGATTTCCTCGCTTGATTTTCTGTTTTTATGCATTATTTTGAATTTTCGTGGTTTCATTGAAGTAATCGCTAATTTAACGTTTTTCGGAGGCGGCCATGAACGCCTCTCGAGTCGAAAGGAAGGAGTGTACCTCCATCTAGTGGATGTATTGTAGATTGCGCCTTACAAACCAGTGCGTCCAATATTTGAAAAAACTTTAAAAAATAGACCATGCGTTGAAGGTGTGCCTCATACTCCAGTGCGCCTTTTAGTGCGGAAAATACGGTAAACGAAAATTTGCTTTTTAATGTTCAAATCACATAACCGACACGTGATCAACAAAAATTGAATTTGATACATGCCAACTTGGTGGCATGTTTTCAATTTGTTTTTCCAAAATGAGCACCCAAAATTTGGTTGATTTGAGGTGAAAAGGGCCTCATGTAATCAGCAACTAAGACCAGCAGAATACAGAACCGCACAACAACCTGCATGTTTAGGAATATCTTATCTTCACTCACTGTTGGCAAAAATAATAATCACCAGCTTCGTGCTGATTCACATTGAAGTGAGGACACACACATAGGAGAGACAGACCTTAACCACGGGTGGCATAAATCATTACAATTTCAGAGTCTTCAAAGCCAAAGAAAGTACATTTAGTTGTCAGGTGGGAAAATAAATGTGATTTCAAATGAAGTGTAGAGACAAGGAGTGACAAATGGAACATATGCCAACATCTCCGTCACACAGCTCATCATTTCTCTCTCAGTCATTTGCACATATCCCGAAATGAAAGAAAGGTTGTGAGGAAGCATGCACAGGTCAGTGCAAGAAAACGGAACAGTCACGCAACAAACAAACCTGAGTTGAGGTCTCTTCCGGGGTTGAAAGCTCGGCTGTTGACGGTGGGTGAGAGTCTGTCACAGCAGATGGTTTTGGACACATTGGTGTTGAAATTTCCATCAAACCTAAAAGAGGCACAAACAGGCAAAACATTGAAGAATTTATGGAAGACCTCCAAAGCCATTTGTTGGCAGAGTGGCTCTGGCTTCTCTCTCGGCACCAACGGCTTTACTACACCCAGGCTTTTACGTCCAATAAAACTCAACTCTCAGGTATCGCATGCACCCCTGACTGTGTGCTAATGTGCATGTGTTACAATTTCAACATCACTATTGGCATGAATAGTAAGGAAAAAAATGTTTGTTGTGAATTAAATGAAATTAAAGAAAACATCTGGTGAAAAGTTAGACTGTTTTTTTCATTCACGCTGCATTCATCTGTTGCCCAGACCTCTTATTAAAGTAGGATTTATGACTCTTGGTGAATAAGATTTTCCATGGAAAACTGCCCAAAATGTGTTTTCCCCAACAAAGCAACGTTCCCAGATCTATATAAGACTAGTACTGAAGAAAGTACTCTTTCAGTACTCTTTATATAATTGGGCAATCGAGATCGCGTGCCAGAGAGGTCCATTGTGACATGCACGTCGATAAAAACACTGAAACCTGATACCTCTTCTTTATTCACCAAAAATTAAAAAAAACACTGCATGTAATAACACAATTGGTTGCAATGCTTAACATGACAGAATCTATTTGTATATTGATGATCCTAGTCAGTAACAGGATTACGATAAACAATTGTGCAACAATGAGGGCTTTTTCTAAAATGTTCTCATTTTTAATTAAAAATGTAATCATTTTTGTAGGAAATTAAGGTGATTATTACGGTCAACATAAAGTGAAGTAACAAGAGCTCACTGCAGCAAAGGCAGCCCATTTCGAGGTATTTATGGGGAAACACAGCAATATTGTAAAGGTGGATAAATATGTGGTGTCCCCATTTTTGTGTCTAGCCTGATATTTGCCAAAATAATTCCCCTGGTTAATTTTAATGCACACCATCATGTTAGGAATTGATGTGATGTCAAGTCATTGACCGGGCCGACCCTTGCACCCACCAGGTACCAGACGCTTGGAAAACACAAATAAGCTGCCGTAGGAAAAAAAAAAAAAAATCCAGTGCCGCGCAGGCCATGAGCAAGCTCATCAGAGGTGCCCTCTTCCTCATCCAATACATCCCGTGATCCACCCGGTTAGATGGCCATGAGTGTGGCATCCAGACTCGCCATAAAGAAGTCCGAGAGAGCCGAAGACACGGCAGCGGGGGACCGAAAGGCGGTACAGACGCTCGGACAGGCAGCGATCAGCCCATGAGCATCCAGTATGCACACCCACATGTTAAAGAAGTGACAAAAACAGAGCTGCGTTGCGGCTCGTACATCTGTAAGACCAGTATTTCTATAAACCGCCCTCACACAGGGCTGATCCTGATCTTCAGAATTAAATTCCAATAAATATGCACATTTTTCAGATAATTTTAATGTCGTATTTGTATGTATTGACATTAAAAAATGCTCCCTACAGCACATATCTCTGGAATTAATGGCTGACAAAGAACGAGCTATGCAGGGAAGCAGGCTGTTCTGCACTGCACCAAGGCTGCAAGCTTTGATCCTTCCATCGCTTCAGTCCGACTCACCCCCCCCCCCCCCCCCCCCCCCCCCGCAACACACGCACACATGAAACACATGCTCTGCACACTTATTGGCTCCCTCTGCTAGACGACCTCGCCCTGGCCCAGTTTGATTGGCAGGTGCTGTGATGTACGACTCACGTTTGTACTTCACTCATTTACAGTCCCAATAGGCCAAAGTCATTACTATTCTCCTTAAATCCGGTTTGCATAGAAGCGGTGGGCAGGACGCTCAGCGAAATGTGCGCCAGATAAAAAATACATTTGCAACTGCTTTGAATTCCACATCAAAACCTGTGTAACGAGAGCGAGAGAGAGAGAGAGAGAGAGAGAGAGAGAGAGAGAGAGAGAGAGAGAGAGAGAGCTGTGAGGGGGCTTCCATACTGATCACGAATCTTAATGAAGTAAAAAAAAAAAAAAAAAATTCTATTTTAGCCTCAGCAGCCAAGAGCACTGGAATATTCGAGCACAATTTACTTTGCAGAATATGAAATGTAATTACATTAAATTGCCGTTCAACACTATGAAACATCTGCATGGCAATTTAGAATTTTCATGAAAAATCCTGCATTGATTACTACGTACCTGCCCAAAAGGTTCTTAATGCACTAATTAGATGTGACCCTCGAGAAGTACAAGATAGCAAACACCAGTGAATGAATAGATGGTGCATTTCTTTTCAGTATTCAGACTTGACTGTGCCTCTTTTCGGGGGACGAAATAAGATCACAGCAAGATGGAACATTTTCAAGCAGGTGTTTCTGCATGGTACTAAAGACAGACTGTCGCAGTCATATTCAGCTGTTACCTTTCCTCCAATGTTCGTCTAATAGATTAGATTAAACTGCACCCATAGAGCGGAACATCAAAAATCCTTCGGAGTACATTTATATTGAAGTGGCACACTGTTGCGCCAAAGCCCAAGTCAAAACGAGTACGGATTTTTAATCCTTCAAAGCACGGCAGTGGCAGACCCACGGGATGTGGAGATTTCTGGAAACCGCTACATGCACGATAATACATGCAATATGCAATTAAATGATTTTTATTTAAGAAATTATACAACTGGAGCTCCAAATGACTTGATAACATTTGAAAATGATCGTTATAGAATTGTAAGAAAGTCACAACATAAATTACAATCTACACAATGGATCTTCGCTACATTTAATTTAACTCGTCCTTAAGGTTCCCATTAAAACTATAGGATTAATGATTACAAAAACGTGCTACTTTGTAGAACTTTTCCGATTGAAGCGTTGCATGATCCAAGCAGACCAGGAGAGCTTATTCAAGCTTTTATTTCCAGTAGATTTGAATATTGTAGTGGTCTTCTGACTGGCCTCTCTCAGAAGAAAGAGCATCATTTCTGTGCAGCTCATTCAGAATGCTGCAGCTCTGGTTCGGACCAGTACTAAGATATCAGAAAGATTACCGTAGTCCTCAAGAATTAACAGTGGCTCCCATTCAGCTGTTGAATACATTTTTAAATTATGCTACTGGTCTAGGGCGGCCCAGTGGTCCAGTGGTCCAGTGGTTAGCGCGACCTCACAGTGCAGAAGTACTGGGTTCAATTCCAGCTCCGGCCTCCCTGTGTGGAGTTTGCATGTTCTCCCCGTGCCTGCGTGGGTTTTCTCCAGGTATTCCGGGTTCCTCCCACATTCCAAAAACATGCATGGCAGGCTGATTGAACACTCTAAATTGTCCCTAGGTGTGAGTGTGAGCGTGGATGGTTGTTCGTCTCTGTGTGCCCTGCGATTGGCTGGCAACCTGTTCAGGTGGTCCCCTGCCTATTATCTGAAGACAGCTGGGATTGGCTCCAGCACCCCCCGCGACCCTTGTGAGGATAAGTGGATTGGAAAATGGATGCTACTGGTCTATAAATCACTGGATGATTTAGGATCATGAATATATGAAAGAAATGCTCATGGATAAAAATCCAGAGTGGCTCATCAGACTTGGATCAATTAGTGGAGCCAAACAAACATGGTGCATCAGCATGTGGCCGTTATGCTGCATGCAAATGCAATGAGATGCCAACAGAACTGAAGTTATCCCCAGGCGTAAATACTTTTAAATCCTGGTTTAAAAATATGCTTTTTTTTTACTTAGAATCAATTTTTCCAAAATCTTGTGCTGTACGTTCTTTTAGTGATACGCTTGAACTACTTTTTATTTCTTTACTCTGCTTTTATAAGTATTCAATTATTTTGCCTTTGAATGTCTTATTTTTCCTTTCAATGCTGTTTGGTAATTACATGAAGCCCATTGAGTTACCTTGTGAATGAAATGAGCTCTATAAATAAGACCTCGCCTTTGCTTTGCCTATTTTAGCAATGCTTTGAAAATTGGATAGCATGCTTTATATATGCAGAAAAACATGGTATTTGCTTCCACTGCTTTGTGGATGACTGGAAGATCTATGTCCCCCTGAGCAAAAAAGACGCTTTCTCATTGACACTGCTTTTATCCTGCATGGAAGAAATCAAGACCTGGATGGCACAACATTTTTTGAATTTCAATGAAAGAAGTCAGAACAGATGGTATTTGGTCCCAGTGGCCCTTGTAAACCCCATTCTGTGGACTTGGGCCCTCTGGTTCCTTATCTTAAGGCAACAGTGTTGAACTTGGGCCTTGAAGTGTACAGTGATTTTAAATTGGATGGGCAAATTGGTGCTGTTGTTAATTTCCAGCTTCTTTCATCTTAGGCATCTGGCTAAAGTCAAGCCTCTCCTTTCACAAGAGAACTTTGAAAAAGTCATTCATGCCTTCGTCACATCCTGGCTGGATTACTGCACTTTACTTTGAAGTCAGCCAATCCTCCATTAAGCGTCTCCAGTTGGTCCAGAATGCTGCTGCTCGCCTCTTGATTGGTACTCAAAAAGGGTGGCACATAACTCCTACTCTGGCATCCTTTCACTGACTCCCTATACATTTTAAAGTTCTTTTTAAGATCGTATTATTTGGTTTCAAATCTTTAAATGCCCTTACCCACTTTCCCTGTCTGACCTCCTCCGCCCCTACGCACCTGCCCGTTGCCTTAGGTCTGCAGACCAAACACTATTAGAGGTACCAAGTACTAACTAAGCCGACGCTCAGACGGGATTGAGCCTTTTCCCTTGCTAGTCCCTCTCTTTCCTCCCACTGAATGTTCAGCAAGACCCCTCGCTGCCCATCTTTAAAACTCATCTTAAAACTCATTTTTATTCTTTGGCTTTTGATTCAGCATGAGACTTGGTTTTCAGTTTTACTGCTTTTTGTGCTTTCTACTGTCTCTGATATAAATTCATTGTTTTATTGTTTGTTGTTGTTTGAATTATTTCGCTCCATGTACAGCACTTTGTATGCAGCGGTGATTGTTTTAAAGTGCGCTATAAATACAGCTGAGTTGAGCTATTAAACAAAAATTAACAACAGAATTTACAGGCATATTCTCCCATCAGCTTCAGTTTTGTTTTTGTTTTTTTTAACTGCCTGGCATCGGCACTTTCAAAATGCTGCAATTCTCCCGTCCAGACTTCTGACACACCCACCATGCATAACCTTGAAATTTGTGCGCAACCACCAAACAGGCGTGACTGCTAGAAGTCTAAGGGTGGAAAAAATTTTCTGGATCGTGGTGATGAAACCTGAATTCCATCAAGATGCACTTGTGCATTTCATGAAGGTGCGTAGCAGCCCCCCTGCCCCCCCACCCCCAAAATGCACAGCAGCACACCTTTTCTGACTTCAGCACACGGGAGAATACGCCCCTTAGTATCTTACCGATATTACTATTTTAGGAATGCTACATCACCGTTCCAAGGGACTACTGGTGGGACAAAGCCGATGGCTGTAGTCTGTGTTATTTGCATGTAATTTTTTATTTATAGGTCCAATTTTTGTTTTTCATAATTTCCCATGCACAGTTTTTGCTAATTTGTATTGGTTGAGGGCAAAATGCTGAGAATCAAACTGACTGCAAGAGAATGAATCAGAATGAATCAGGTCGTCTGCAAGTCATTTAGCACCATGCTCTCCACAAACATGCGGTGTCATAAACTGGAGAGGGGGCACCCATCATCCGGGCGCACCCCAGCCCAGTGTCGAAAGGCGTTCCGAGCGGCCGGGGGGAACGCCGCTAACCTTGACCAACCGGGGGGTGGCGGCGCTACGGTATCGGCGCGTCTCGGCGGGATTCTGACTTAGAGGCGTTCAGTCATAATCCCGCAGATGTTAGCCTCGCACCACTGGCTCCTCAGCCAAGCACATACACCAAATGTCTGAACCTGCGGTTCCTCTCGTACTGAGCAGGATTGCTATTGCGACAACACATTATCAGTAGGGTAAAACTAACCTGTCTCACGACAGTCGAAACCCAGCTCACGTTCCCTATTAGTGGGTGAACAATCCAACGCTTGGTGAATTCTGCTTCACAATGATAGGAAGAGCCGACATCGAAGTATCAAAAAGCGACGTCGCTATGAACGCTTGGCTGCCACAAGCCAGTTATCCCTGTGGGAACTTTTCTGACACCTGCTGCTTGAAACCCAAAAAGCCAGAAGGATCGTGAGGCCGCGCTTTCACGGTCCGTACTCATACTGAAAATCAAAATCAAGCGAGCTTTTGCCCTTCTGCTCCGCGGGAGGTTTCCGTCCTCCCTGAGCTCGCCTTAGCGTTACCGTTTGACAGGTGTACCGCCCCAGTCAAACTCCCCACCTGCCACTGTCCCCGGAGCGGGTCGCGCCCAGGACGCCGTAGTGGGCGCCCCCGCGACGCTTGGAACCAGAACCGAGAGTCCACGCAGGGCTCGCCTCCCACCTCACCGGGTAAGTGAAAAAAACGATAAGACGATGTAACAAATGTTGCTTCTTAGCAGTATTACCGTCCAAAGATCAGTTAAGCAGGGCACCTAGAGACTGCCTTTTCTTAAAAATCACACATGAAAATTTCTGTTTTAAGGTGCATCCGTTATAAAGGGAAGACAGTAATTGTAGCATACGACTGAAAGCTGAGCACTGACTTCAATAGTCTCCTTCTAAAATTATAGTCTGCTCGTTAACTGATAGGGACACATTGTGGAGCCTTACTTTTGAGCCCTTTCTAAATTGATCTTACAGAAACTGCCAGACACAGAAGCTTAAACAAGGACACAGTGTCATATTCTTTTATGAACACCATGCTGTTTTTTTTTCCTTCAGTAGACTCATGTTGTGACTCAAAAATATGTTATTGTCTCAATAACCACGACAACATACAAACACCTAAAACACTTAAAAGGTGGAATGACTTCTTGGGGTGACACACAATGACGGTTCATAAATACCAACAATATTAAAAATTGTCATTTGGCAAAATGATTAAATCTCCAAGCTCTCCATGTGGCTCTCCCATGGAAATTGAAAATGCAGGGGCCTCTGAGACTGGGGGCACGATTTTTGTTGAATTAACTGTTTCTAACAAATTTTTGGGTGCAGAATCCAAAAGTGACCTAGATTTTTCTGTCTGTCAGCTTTTTTGACCCATAGGATCCCCGTTTGTTTAAAAAAAGAAATCAATGTGCATGTATTTCAATAAAACACAAATATGGAGTAGCATAAAATGAAATAGTTTATAGTTATCAGAAAAAACAGCACTAATCCTCTTAAATCCTACTATGTTAGCTTTCTGTTTGCAGATATTTATAGTACTGACCAATTGGAAGCTGCACACACCTCTCTGTGATGACGCAAACGACCTGCCAAATCGCTGTAGATGAGTCCATTCGTGATCAAATCTTCTTACTATAGTTTTACGACAGCTAATCGGTGGAATTTTGCTTATTTGGAGGGTAAGCTGTGGAGGGAAAAAAGTAGATAATTTTAATCAGCTTTTTTTTTTTTTTTTTTTGCAAATTGTTCCCCAGCGTTAATCACTATTAAAATCATTATTCATCTCATAATGGCATGGTGAAATTTATCTGCATGCCCCCCTCTCCACCCCCAAAATGCATTATTTAAATTTGCAGGCTGCGCTGATGTGCAAAACTAAGGAAGTGAGCGACACACCGTATCTCATGTCTCACAATTCTGCACAAGTAAGCGAAAATGAAAGTGCCTTTTTCCTCCCCCAGGGAAGTTGCTTTGAAGATTTTGGACCTATCACAATCTATTTCATCTTACTATGTCTACCCCACTTGCCTGATGAGTTCCCACATCATTCCAAGCCAGGCTATCCTCCATTTACTGCCACTATTTTTTCAGCCTGACTGTCTACAAAAGGATGTAAGTCCAAGGCTAAAGGACTGAACACGTAGCTACATAAATATAAGCTCTTGTCTGTAGAGAATGTATGTGCACTATATCAAATCATCTATAATATGCACGCTTTGGCTACAGGTGGCTAGTTGGTGTTGAGCCAGATGGCCTCCCCTGTACAGGAGTGAGATGACCTTGGAGCAAGTTAAGTTTGCATTGCAAAAGCAAACAATCAGAGGGCAATAACTGCTTACGGCGAGTCGAGGGAAGTAGACAGAAATGGAGAGTGAGAGGGATGAAAGACGGAGACAGCTGCACCACTGCAGATTATATGTGAAACCAGCACTCGTGCTTCGCTTCACTTCAACTTCATTTCAGGCCAAAGGAATAAGTGACTGTCAGCGGTGTGTCTTCATTGTGCCTGTAGCCAAGGGCGAATGACCTGTAGTATTAGTGCTACAAATTCTCGTACTTCAAAGTCTTTTCTGTTTTCTTCTAAAACAATCCGCATTTTCGCAAAATAGACACTCGCGTATACATGTCAGACAAGTGGTCGGCAATGTGCATTTGTAAAGAAACACTACATACGTGGGGCAGTCAAAAAGTAATGAGCCCAAATGAGCTTGACCTACTAAAATAGGATTTCTTTTAACAAAATATTTTATGGTATGCCTTTTAAACACATTTTGAAGGTTTACGTAAACAATGTGTTCAATTATTAGTAGGTTAAAAATTAAATTGGGCTCATTACTTTTTCACACTGTCCCTCGTACATGCATACCAACAAGCTTGAACACATCAACGAACAGCCCTGTGGTACACCATGTTCCTTCTGGTTGAAATGTACTCGCACATATCTACACTGAACACCACCTTGATGTCATTGATTTTCATGTTGCATTTCAGATTACAGGGAAGTCAGAAATATCCAGCCTGGAGCATATCAGGTCTGATCGCAATGTCTTGTGTTGAAAGAAAAAAAACAACATGGCTGTAGCTGACAACAGCAAAACATACAGTACGGTATGTTGTCCAAAGCCACTGGGATATAACATGGCCCCACAATTATGTTCATGTTGAAATTGATAGTAGTAGCATATTATTACAATCTCAAAGTGACTTTGCAGACAAACCAAATTCGAGACAGATATTAAAATGGGAGACTATACATCAACAAAGGTGAGATTTTGAAATAAGCCAGTTGCTACTCACTCCATCATAGATGTTGGGATAGAGCAGCAGTCCTGTATTGCAGTGAGAGGAGAGGTGAGGTGGGCAGTGTACGAGGCCTCCACCACCTGTTTGTTCCTGTTCACCACATCAAGGTAGCGGTTAAACTTCTCCCGAATCTTCTTGGCCAGCTGCACAAAGGGAACATAGGGAAGTTACAACCACAACAAACATCAACAAAAGAGTCAGCAACTTTTGAGTTGAGTCGAACTGGGTAGAGTTGCTTATATTAAACACACAAGGGACTCTAAATATTACCAATACTTCCCTTGACCAACACACATCAATTTCATATTGACACATACTGTCTTTGACATCATCAAAGTTAATGGTGATGGAGAGGGCCTATGTTGTTTATAACTTTTACAATGACGCAGTTAACTTCTTGTGTCTATTTAAATGACAGTTAATAATGTTAAAAAGTATGTAATATTAAGTTGACTTTTTCTCAGAAACCCTCTCCCTTATAATGGGAAAAATGCAAAAAGTCTCTTCTACTGGAAATGCCACGTCTCTGTCGTGCACCATCACAAATGAATAATGAATGTTCGTGTTGTTTAGTCTTACAAACAGGGATGCACCAAAATGAAAATTCTTGGCCAAACTGAAAATGTGCGGGGGAATTTTCCTTATTAAAAAAAAACATCTTAACGTAACTATCTTAACCTTGTGCTATTTTTACTTGAAAACACTGTACACAAATATACGCATAACATTGGGTATTGCACTGTTTATAAAGACATGTTTTATTTGTGGGTGCAGTTTGTCAAACAAATGACTGAAAACTTTTACTGTGTGAAGTGGATAGTTTTCAAACCTTGGGCAAACAAAATACAATGAAACAGCAACTTTCTCAGAAGCAAAGAATACATATAATGAAGGAGCAAATCCTGCATCTGAGCTCAATCTGGAGTGTGGAAGATTGAATTAAAAATAACCCTTACTTCCATGGTAACTAAAGCCCTTTGTTCACATCCCACAATTACCAGTGCTAGCAAAACTTCTGTGATTCGCAAGAGAAACAGTAAAAGGCTGAGTGACCCACTGACCGCTTGCCCACCTAATCAGGCCACCATTAAATTCTGTCAGGCGTTTCAAAGGAAGCTCTTGCACAGCCCACAATTACTTCTACAGCACCACAAACACAGCTCCGCACATAGCTCCTGAGATGTGCACTTACCCACAGACAATAAAGTCAACACAAAAATGTGTTCAGTACTAACAAACATAATGTCTGTTGCAGCATACCAATTAGCGGCAATGAACTTTCTTTAAAAAAAAAAAGGAAAATGGGCCAGTGTTCAGTTAGGGAGTGTTTGCACGATTGGGGGAAGGGACAGACTAGTATGAAGACTAAACTCCACTTCTTTTAACTCATTCAGTGCCAGACCCATTTTTACCCTAACTCTTGGAAAAAAAATAATAAGTACCTTAGGATTGAATATGTGGAGTCTGAAAAGATATCTAAATATGTCTTTGGGAGTGAAATTAACAAACTGGCTTAAAAGAAACCAGAAGGTTTGAGCATGTGAGCTCCATCTTAGGTTACAGTTTGCCAAAGTGCAGACAAAGAACGCCATTCCAACCTGCGCTCTATACTTTAACCACACTCTTACAAACACAGAGCTCCTCTCTCCTCACCCTGACCGACCTGACCAGTGTGTGGGGATTGCGAAACCCAGAGTTCCTTGCAGCCGCACACTGGTGCAGGGTACACTGTGAAGTCTTAAGGCTGAGGATTTCAATGACTGCCAGACAACATGCAACCACAGCCACTGGCAGTAGTGCTGGTGGCGACACTGACTCTTATTTTGGAGACCTTCGTTGAAATTAATACAGGGATGAGCATGGCAATGACGAAAACCGCATGACCGCAATACCACGGCAAAGCGAAGCGCCATCTGACTGGCTCACAGAAACAACCCATTTCAATCTGGGATTGTTAGTAGCATGCTAACAACAAGCACAAGGCAGAATGATTGGGGCATCCGGGTCAATCGTGGGAGGTTTGTTGGCTTGAAAAGTACTTAGATCTTTAGTCAAAAAAGGTTGGGCACTACTGATTGAGGTTAATGTTTGACATCAAATGTAAAATATTAAATGATAGTTTCGACTGCCTGAAGGCTCAAATAATAAAAGGTATTGTGTAACTCATATTCAACTGTTCTGAATTGTTTAAAAATGTTCAAAATTAAATTTTTATTTCACAAAATGTATTCCAATTACCGTACTTTCACGACCATTCGGCGCACCGTATTGTTGGGCGCAGTCTCAGTAACGGGTGCTATTTCTGTATTTGACACATACACAAAACGCACTGTATTATTGGGCGCAGCCAGGCATGGTAAAATATACGCCATCTTAAACATACGGCATGCATCCACGCATGCTAAAAACACGTTAGCTTGAAGCATACGGTAGCATGCATGCACGCTAAAACATACCAGGTATGTTAGCTTAAAGCATACGGTAGCAGCTAAGACATACGGACACACGCTAAAAACACGTTTTTAAAAAGGCAACGGAAGCAAAACTGAGTTCGGTTGTACTTTATTTAGCCATTTTACAATGTACTCACGCGACTGGTACCTGCTAGGGGCGTGCCTTTAGCGTCCTCTAACACGTCCACCCTTCACTCATTGGCGGACTTCCGCATGCCTGTCGTCACTCACGTCCGCCTTTTCTCCTTATAAACAGCGTGTCGGCCAGACGTGCTCTCAGTCAGGCTTTGGAACTCGGCGCATACACTAGACCAGTGTTTTTCAAACTTTTTTGATCCAAGGCACATTTCTTTCATTGGAAAAATCTCGCGGCACACCACTAGCTGAAAATGTGAAGAAAAAAAAAACGCTTATTTGAATAATTAATGTGTTATATTGTTACTATAACCGTTTTTAGCATTTAAGAATGACATTATAACTAGTGATGGGAATCTGAAGCCTCATGACGCAATGAGGCTTTCCATCCAACTGGGTCGGTCCTGGGCCGATGCATCATGAGGCTCCATTTGCTCTATTGCGCCATCATGTGGAAAATAAATGTCATGACACAGTGATTAAAATACCATGGATTTGATGGAGTCAAAAGGGCAGGGAGTTGTGATGTGAATGAATGTGCGTGTGTTACTTGAAAGAATGATTGCTTTATTTTAGACATTGACATAAACAAGGAACAAGATACACCTTTCATTCATTTTTATTGAGGAAAACAAGCATTTCCAAAGTGTTTGGCTTTAAACGGTTTCTTTTCTTCGATAGGATTTCTCCTGCTTTTGAAAATAGTCTTTCACAAGGGACGGATGAGGCTGGGGTACAGAGAAAGGTTATAGCTAATTTGTAGAGGTTGTACACTCGTTGCAACATGTGGAAGGTGCTGTTCCAGCGTGTCTCCACCTGAAAATAAAAGGTCATTATTGTTTGAAAGGGGAGTGGAAGCAGTTATGGATGTCAACTTACCTCTTGAATGAGCTTCAGCACAGGCTCTGTAGGCATCATTTGCTCCTGCACCTGTGTCAGCCTTGTCTATAAAAATTAAATATGAAACAAAACATTTTCCAAGTCATTTTGCATTAATTTGAATACTGCTGTGTAATAAAGGAATTCACCTTTGCAGTGGTACTGCTTTTGAAGTAGCCAACTATCCTCCTACACTGAAGACGGATC